TTGAATGCAAAAGAAGCCTTTAGATTTGAACCTATAATGACACCAGGAGCCCAGAGGCTACAATCATCTTCACCTCTGCAGCTGTTGTACTGTGCAGGAAGACAGGGATTCTGATATTAATCTAAAATAAAACATAGTTACTCTTTTGATCTGTTGTGAAATACTAGTACTGGGCAATCCTGCAGTTTCTTTATATTTTGCTAGAAAAATGGGAAATAAGTACAGCTTATTATTGAAACACCCAAAGCATAGTGTTCAAGGCAAAAACATACTAAAGAACTTGAAAATCACCATTTGGCAGGATGACTGCTATTCTTCAACACAGCCTGAACTCTCTTAGGCAAGCTTTATGTAATTTATTTCAGAAATAATTCTACAGACTTCACTTCAAAGCTTTTCTTGGATGCTTTTTTTTTTGTCTTTTTCATCATGACCTTTGAAGCATCTTTGTTATGGTTTTGGGGACGTCGATCCATGACTGACAGTGTCCCATTGTGTGTTTTTCCAGGAATTCTTTTTTGGCAGTGTATTTGGGATCAATATCAATATGACAGATGTTTTCCAGGTGGTATTGTACGGTGGATAAAAATGTAACGGTACTTTTCTGTTATCTGTATCATCTGCTGAGACTGCACTCAGTACTAACAAAGAAGAACGTAGCACGAACAGCAAAACAGGAGGACGGAAGAAAATGGGAACGGAAATTTTAAAAAAATGTGAAAGCATTTCAAAGAAAACAAACAAAGTTAAATGCAGGCTGTGCAAAAGCAGAGATTTCCTTCCATGATAAAAATGTAAAACTCTGGCACCCTGGAGCTGTGACGTCACCTCAGCGTGGGTCAGTTTTAGAGAGTTAAGTTAGTGCGCCGTGTTGATGCCTTGTTTTTGGTAATGTTTGTACAGGAATGTCTATGTTGGCTTACCTGTCGGAAACTTCTCAGGATGATGCTTACTAAGCGAGCACCATTTGTGAAATGTGATAGTTAACCATTAAACAGGAATAGCTACACTGTCTCCTAGTTTTAATGAATTTAATTTGTTGTGGGGTGAGACAACAGGATGATATTCACAGACTTGAGCAAATGAGCTACTGGAGCCTATAACAGGAGGTTTGCCCATAGGAAGCAACCATAAGAGTTATTGAAATAATCATAGACTAATCGACTACTACGAAAAATTGGCAGTTTAGTCGACAACCAAAATCTTTAGCTGCAGCCCTGATCCCTCCATCAAACATGTTGACACTGACACAGTCTAGTTCTTGTGCAATGTAACATACTTCTACCTTTCCTCCCAGTCATTCTTCCTTAAAAATAGCTTCTTGACAGCCATCCTTCCACTGAATGAGACCATATCTGATGATGTTTCAGTAGACAGCAGATGGATCAACAGAAGGGCCTGATGCATCTCTCAGGTCTTTGCTAGATTTTCTCTTCTTTTCATATACAGTTCACCCTCTGTAGTTTTTTAGGCATAACATTTTATTTTGTAATATTTTAAGTACACAGTGGACGCCATGCTGAGATATGCCAATTTTTAGCAAATAGCTCTTTAAGAATACCTTGTTGGTGTAAAAGAACTATTTTATGCCTGTCAAACTGTGTTATAATTGGTATTTTTGTAGATTCAATTTCAGAATATATTTATTTATTTGCAAATAGAATGGCAGTAACAAACTCTGAAAGATATAATTTAAACCTGATTGAGTAAGATGCCTGTTTTCAATGCTTGAATAATTCATAGGTCAGTGTTTAAAAAATCCTTTGGAAATGTTCAACAATTCATGGAAAATCTGTGGGAAAAAGTGCAGTCACTGTCAAAAGGAAACTTTCAGAAAGCCTGCTGCTCACTAACACAAGTCTGTGTCCCTGGAAGCAAAATACGAAGAAATTGTAATTCTCTACTGCAGACTAGCTATGTTGCATCCTGAATAGCACGTCGGGCCTGCAGTGACTTAGAGCACTTTTGATGGGGGCTGGTCTTATGCTCCTTTCTGTTTACTGTATTGGCTGACTGACTTCAGTGTCCTCAGGCAAGCCATGAGGGAAACTAACTGATCCATAAGCCACACCGAAGGTAGCTTGAAATATATATTTACTCATTTGGTGGACTTGGCGACGAAAGCAGGGATTCACTGTCAGTTTTGAGTGTTTTATCACTTTTGTCACTTTTTGTCTCTTAACACGTTTAGCAGCCATTTAGGTGCTGTCCTTACAACAGTGAAAATGAAACATGTTTTACACTGTATAGAAATGCCTTTTTATCTTTAAAGAAACCAACTGAATAACACGGAGGTCACTGTGACAATGACGGAAATAAAGAGGAGTGAGTGAGTCAGAAAGTGACTCACAGGAGCATACGCAAACACGAAGGAATTCAAAATATAACTCCATCTTCCAAGCACTTTGTAATCGCTCAGCAACATCCAGGTGGAAGTCAAACTGTTCCTGGTAGCAAGAACAAACTTCCCAAAGTTTTATGTCAGCAGGGAAGACAGTGTGGTAATTAATAAGAATACAGGCTGCACTGTTCAATTTTCAAAGACCAGCCAATGCTAATGGTGACCCACTGAGGTGGCACTTGTTTTATTTTAGTACCTATAGTTCTGGTGCAGTCACAAGTCAAAATATGTGCTCTAAAAAAAGGGTATGTTGCTTTGTATTTTACAAGACTATAGCAAGCAAGCAAGCACATGCAGGTTACTGCCACAACTTAATATTCCATAAAAACTGTCTCAGAGTTTGAAATAATGTTTTGTGTTTAATCAACGCCTTTTGGCACTGCCATTTTTGTTGTCTTGTTAATTAATCCGCTAGATTTGCTGGCATGCAATTAAAATGAGGTGCTAAGTTTGTGCTACCCTAAGAAAATCCCAGATTTGTGTTTTCTTTTTCAGATTCAACCCTTATTAGATGAGTGTCAGAGAGGGGCTGGAAGAAGAAGAACCCAGCTTTAAATAATCATCCTATCCTGGGTAATTTAAAATTGGCATTACCTGCATACATATTTTTATCTTTATCTGACAAGTTGTTGAATTCTTATGTTAATGTAACTTTGCCTATTTCAGAATTTCTTTTTTAATCTTATAAATAAATAAAAAATTTACATATTAATGAGTCAGGCCCTTTGGGTCACCTTATATTACATGGAAGGAAGGTATTTTTCTGTTTCCTATACTCATACTCAGGATATCTAGACGTTTTGGTCCAGTTCAATCAAACTCTGCTGTTTTTTCCCATTTGATTTGGGTTGTTTGAGCTGGCAAAAAAGCTGTCAATCAAAATCTGACTAAATAACTCAAGCAGAGAGACCCCGCTTTTCAGGCTGTCTCTATTCTGGTTTGACTGTATGCTGAAAACAAACAATATTTTTTTTAAGGGTACAAGTAATTCATGATTTAAAAAAACCCCAAAACCTTTGTAGGTGATCTATGATAAATGACAGGAGGTTGTGCACTCAATACCTCTTAAAAAGTCAATGAAATGCAGCATCAACACTTTGGGTATAATTAAGATTTTTAAAAAGTCCTTGTTTTCTTCCTTCCTTCTACCTGACCATTACTTTTCATGAGTTACGGTCTTGACAATTGGTGCTGGTGAAGATTTATTTCTTAATTGGGTTCATTGTGACACCAAAGAAAAATAACTACATAAGGCTTATAATTAGCAGCATGACTCGATTTCATTTTCACCATTTGCTCTGGTAGTCTGGTTCGAAATCAACAATGTGTATGATTCAGCAGAGCCCCTGCTGTGCTTGGAATTCATAAGTATGCAGAGCGACAGTTAACAGCTTTTCAGTGCCGGAATAAACAGAACATAACATGTGAATGAAAAGCGAACTTATCTAAACTATTACCATTACCAAAAATAGTACCAATGGAGTTTCCCTGAAGGCAAGACGCATGTTTAGCGTGCCACAAACGCAACAAACCAGCTGCTCTGAGCACAGTCGGCACAGTATAAACAAGCACTAGTGTTGTATTATCCTAGTAAGAACTTATAGGTAAGTACATGTAACAAATGTTATACAAAGCCAGTATATCTAAATATATTGTGTATTTAGCTAAATACCGTAATACACAGACTAATATCTAAATACACAGACGTTCACATTAACCACCTACATTGAGGATCCAGCCACAACCAGGGTGCCTCCACCAGACAACCTGTGCAATCATCTTTAAATTGAAAGCGATTCACCAGAGGTTGAGGCTGTTGCACGTTCACCTCTGGATGACCAGGTGTTTGCTGTAACCTAACAGCAAAAAAGTCTGACTAAACCATATCAGACAGTCTATTTCCCTCCAAGTGAGCCAGCATTTATGTTTGCTATTTTATGTTATGTTTTTGCTGCATTTATTTGCTCATTAATTTTCTACCTTCGTTAGGCAGTTGTATGTGGGGTGTCACTGCTCAGTTGCTATCATATTACTTTGATATGTTAGAAAATGTTTCTTACTCATGTTTTCTGCAAAACAGTACAAAATTTGACTTGTCTCTGTCTTGCACGTTGGAAATTATAATTTATGTTAATTACAGAACAACCTACCCATTATAAACCGATTCAGACAAGTGTGACAATTTACAATTAGTATGTAGGACATTACGTTATAAGGGAATAGCATTCGGAAAGATGATTGCTTAAAGGAAGGTTTAGTGTTGCAGCCAAGGATAATTTCCCAAGAGCTGTCAAGATGAAAACACCATTCAGTCACAAGAGCACCCAGTGAGGATTACAGGTGGTGAGATAAGGCAGGTAGAAAAAGAGAAACAGAAAAAACAGGACAGCAAAAAGAGAGCCATCATAGAAGCGCCAGGTCAGGTTTCAGACAGCCAACCAAATGCAGTCGTTTTTCCTCGATTTTGCTTTCTAATGCCTGAACCTCTTTTGCAACTGCAACAAAATCATGCATTTGAAAAAAAGAGACTACAAAGGTTGCAGCTACAAAGACTGCAGCCCAAAAAACAGCTGATGTGGGTATATGAAGGGAGGCTTGCCTGAGAGATGTCCAGCTCTACCTATGCTGATGGTCATATCATCAGAGTCCAGGAACTGGAACGGGGGATCCTCTGCTTTTTCTTTGTGCCACTTGGAGTCAGAGGGCAGAGCCAAGGCACTGTGGGGGTCCGTACCAACACCCTGAAGATGACAGAAAAAGGTTTTAGCTTTGGTTATTGATTAGCCTAGAGCTGTGAATGTCTGTATAAATTTGAGTTTAGAATGTTTTGCAAAATTGACAAATCAACAGAATGAATTGTGCAGAAATGCAGTGCATATAAAGTGACTCAGTGTTCAGTGAGCTGTAGATGAACTTTCTTAGCATCACCATAACATTTTCATTAGTATTTCTGATTTCAGTGAAGTATTAGAGATGCATGTTTTCTAAATATATTTGCCCTACCTAATTAAAACTGAATTGTATATAAAATCGCAGGACCATCTTTTAGGGCATTGTCACTTAAAATGCTTGTTAGCACTCTGTCTAGTGCATCGCTTCACATTGTTGACAAAGAGCTGACATGTTTTTCTACTCTGATTAAAGTCCAGTGAATGCTGTGTCTGAAAATGATATAGGAAACGTCACACTGTTGTTGTAAAGGGAAGCAATTCCAATTAAAGCACCGTTGAAGCTCAAAATTAGCATACATCTCAGCTTTGGTTGGAGACAAGTGAATAAATAGTTCAATTTAAGATTACATAGACCCTGAAGGGAATAGGGATAGAAATAGAAATGCTTCAAGTGCAAAGTAAAGGGCTTAGCATGAAATAACTTATTCAACAAAATAACAGCAGTGATGAACTTTGTAGCCTGCATGTTTTTAAAACAAATCTGGCTTGTGTCACGATTTGTTGAATAGAGAAGTTAAGACCCAAGTGCAGGACGGAGGAGGCAGACCAAATTAACAAAAGACGAGCTGTTTATTTAGGCTAATCCATAAAAGCTCAAAACACAATCCATGCCATGAAGCACAATATCTAACAGACCTCAGGAGAACGTGGAGGAAAATCACAGTGGGCAGGATAACAGACACTGCAACAACAACTGAGGAAAAGACAGGACTATTTATACACGCAAGGTGATTAGGGAAATGGAGACAGCTAAGGCAAACTACACACAGGTTTAGTCAAGACAATCAGCCGCAGGAGGAACTCAAACAGCACAAAACACAGGAGACAACTAACAGAGTAAAACAAGAACTGAATTTAACAGAGAGAAACACTAAAGGGGCTGATAAATTCCATAAATACTAAGTTATGTTGGAAATGTGGGAACACAGCTTATTAAAAATAATATTTTTAGAAAACTATCATTCCGGGGTAAAAGTAGGGGCACTTAACAATAACAAAACCCCACAACAAAACTCACACAAAGCAGGCAGAGACACTTCATGAATATCTTCATAAGGATTTGGTGTTTGTGTTTTCTTCCTGCTTCCTTTCCTTTCCTTGTTTCTTTCTGTTTTTATCTCAGAAAACTGTAAAGTAATTGCGTAAAAGTAGCTGCATGTTGAAAATCTTCCATTAACAACAAGCAATCTCCTGCACGCGCTCACTAACTGTTCAGGGAACGCACATTTTTCCTTAGCGGCGGGTGGTTCTCAGGCAGTCATCCACTGGTCTCTCGACCAATGTGACTGAGGCCTTAGTCTACACTGTTCACATAATATAGTCTACGTGATAGACAATTTTTCAAAATGACCACAACTCTTGAAAAAGTTATTAATAGTAAACCTGTAAGTAGCACAAGTTAGAATACACTAAGCTAGTCGTTATCAGCAGTTTGTGCAAGAGAACGAAGTTAATCCTTTATCTCCGTTACAGTCCAGTCCTTATGCATCCGTGAGTGATGAATAGTCCAAACCATGTCATTATCTAGCCAATTAACTTATTTCAGACATTTCCAGTCTTCAGTGCTGCAGTGTCAGTGAAAGCAGTAGGTGAGGGTTAGGAGGAGACAGGTGTCATTGACAAGTAACTGGATTTTATTTCAGTGCTAAAATTTGTATACTGAGGAGATCAGAAGTTCTATATCCATATTATGCTTTCCACAATGCACAAGTTAAAATTAATAACAGACGAGCGTTTTACAGCTGAATACATTTCACGTTCAGACAGACTCATCTGTCAGAGGAGAGACGGCCGTAGACATTGAGGGCTAGCAGGAGGGACCATGCGCTTACCTGCTGCTCTCTGGCAGGTAGCTCCATGCCCTCCTGGGTTTTAAATGCACCTTAGAACACACATGCATCAACATTACAATGAGCGGGTGGAGGGAGGTTTGGAGTCTTCTCTCACCCCCGTTCTCTGCGACCTGCTGGAGCAGGGGGGCTAGGAGGAGGAGTTGGCCGTCCGACTGCGGTCTGGAGTGTGGAGCCTTCCTGCTGCTGCGGAGTCGGGGCGGTCTGCCTCCCCCCACCGCAGGGAAAAGGGAAACACCACCTGGGTCTGGGTGCAGTTCCCCCCTCCAGGGGCGGGGGCACCTAGACCCGGTTTGTAGAGTACGCTTGGGGAGTGTGATCGTGTGTACAACGTCTCTTTATGTCTGTCTCCACGTTGGTTGAGTGTGGAGTAAGTGCATATGAGAGCATGAAGGTGGGAATGGATGTTTGTATCTGTGTGTGCCTGTATGTCTGTGTCTATATGTCAGGTTGGGTGTCAGGCGCCACCTCTCTGGGGACATCTCAGGCCCTCCAAGGTTTGGAGGCCTATCTCCCCCTACCACCACTTCCCCTGCCAGTGGCGGACCCCCTCAGACATTGGTGCGTTGGTGGTTCTTTGTGTCCGGGGATGGGCGTCCAGGTACACACCGGCTCACTCCTTGGCGGCCGCTTATCGGGGCCTGGAGCCTGGGGCTCGCTCGGGCCACTTCGGAGGTGGGGTGCCCCCGGCCTCTCGGCCTGGGGCTCGGTCACTCAGGCGCAGCTGGCTGCCGGCGGAGCTCACGGGCGCGTCACTGCAACTCCCCCTGGCTTCTGCTCCGCGGCTGCTGAGTGAGCCCTCATCTGGGACTCTCCTCAGCTCTTTCCGGGACAGTGGCGCGGCTGCCCCTCTGTTGGTCTTCCTTGGTCTCTTGTGTTCTGGGGGCCTCTGGATGTCTGGAGTTTTGATCTCCTCCATACCTGCTTCATACCCTGGAGGACGGGGCTGTGGCCCCCCCACACCCTCTAGCAGATTATTACATGAAGGAACCTTTTAAAAAACAAAAAACAAGCGCGTCCATGCTCACAGGTGTACACACGGGTGATCACACCCACAAACTACACCCTTTTTGGCTCCTACCTCAAAGCACACTGTGTTCTGTTGATCTTATGTGCTGCACAATAATGTTTAATATTTAGTATTTACTGTCATATTCCCATATATCATTGTGATGTTGTTTATTCTATTACTCTTGTTCTCTTCTGCTTGCTTTCTTTTTTCTTTCTCAGCAGGTGATCCAGGTGATTGATATATGCATTTTTTTTTTCCTCTGCCCGTTTTGTTGGTTTTTGTCTTTTGCCCTTCTCCCCCGTCCCTCTTCTCAGCTGTTTCTCTTTCCCTCTTTCTTTCTCCCCTTCTTTCCCCCAGTCAAGTCTGTCCCGTATTCAGTAAGTGAAAATAAAATAAACAATAAAAGGTGAATCAAATGGACCATTACGGCAAGGCTGGGATGGTCAGTTTGGTAAAGTAAAATCCGTTGGGTATCTTTCTTTGCCTTTAGACAACAATTCTGATGGCAAAAGAGCCAAACGGGACAGGCCAAAAAAAAAAAAAAAAAAGAAAAAAAAAAAGAGGAGAGACGGCTGACTGCAATTAACCCAAACACCTCTGCTTTCACTGTCACAGTAAATGTGTTCAGCTCCATTGTGCTACCAAAGAAATGGCAGCAGTGCTGAGAGCATAGCACATGAAACCAGTAGTCTTGGTTTGTCTACATGCAGTACAGAACGTTAGATTTTCACTCGATTTCTTTTAATTCAGCTCATTTAGATGCAAAGTTTTTGGTGGGAGAACTGTTTCAGCGCTCATCCAAATGTTCTTGAGTTCTTCAGTCTCAGCTGACTGCAGGTTTCCCCGCTTTAAAAACTCTACAGTTGCATAACGATCAAAACCAGCATCATTGTACAATAATGAGACACAAGATCATTGATGATTGTTGATATGCAAATTGTCTCAACCATTAAGCAATGGCCATGAGTACTATTCATGTACTATTCATAGAGTCTGGGGAATGGCTGCAATCACGCACTGTAAAGATGGTGAAAGATGTACCCTTAGGGTCCCTGTTCAGTTCAGAGATGGCCGTTTCCATTTTACCCAAATGGCTTCCCTTCACTCTCTGCTCGAATCATCCTTCCTGCTAAGTATGTGCATATACTCATTGTTGAAGAGTGGCCACTGGACTGTAGCTGTAAATAGAGAACAGTGTCCCGGCGTGATGAGGCAGCTCTTTTGTGCTGTGCCATTTAGCCAGAGGGAGAAGCAGTTAATTCCGTCTATTCCTTTGTCACAAGGGGTCAGTAGCTCAGAGTTTTACTGCAGAAGCCTTTCAAAATTTGCATCTTCAACTAGAATTGAACCAGCAACATTTAGCTTTCCAAGTGAGCGTGTTAACTAATGCAAAGGAAACACACAGGTAAAAGAATACACTATATACATGACTCTGGCCGGGGGCCCTGAGCCTTAGGGAATACCAGCTTTAACACTTGTTTTCACTTGAGCTCTTTGTGTGTTATATCTTTGCTCTTCTTCACAACTAATTCAAGAACCAAAGCAGCACATGCAAGAGTGGAGTTGCAGCATCCTGATGACATCTAAATTTATGCTGCAGTGGAGGATGTGAATCACACCCTAAATACTGATCCCTATGTGTTAGTTTATGGTATACATCAACTTTCAAGTGTCCCCATTACTGCTGATAACTTCACAGTTTAATAGCGCTAAACCGTCAGTTAGCGGAGACTGAAGAAGCCACTTGGATGAGTTATGAAATGTTTTTCCCACTGAAAACACTCGTGTCCACATGAACCGACACAACTTTATGGGAAAGCGGAATAATGATGATGCAGAGATGTTTTACACAGCCAGAGTAGCATAACGGCAAAATGACAGTCATCAGTCATCTTAATCAGTTTCATTACCTTCACAGTTAGTCTGTTGCCATACTTAGGAATAAGACAGGCATAAGACACTTAATT